CCGGGCGCCGCCGGCCGGGTTCAAGGGCGCGACCGGGGCGCAGCAAAGCCGCCGCGGGGGCTCCCCTTCTTCTTTTTATTTCAAAGCCTAGAGCAGGTATCATAGAGAATTTCCCCTTTCCGAATGGCGCCGTGGAAAGGGAAACCGCAGCTGAGCAGGCTCTCTTTCCGCCGGGTTACCGAGTGGTTTCGTACCCCTGCCGCGCCCGCCGGCGGGGCCGGGACGTTAGGGAGATTTCGTGAATTAGGGGGAACAGAAAGCGGGCCCGCGAGCGGGACGGGGCATCAGGCCTTTTCATTAATCTGCGTGTTATGGGGTGTCGCCTCAGGCCTGCGGGCTGTGTGCGTAGATGAAGGCACCAGCTGCCCTGCTCTGCTGCTCTTTGACGGCGTCGCCTGCTCTAGAAAGGGCATTGTCTCCTCCCATGTATTTCCTGAAAGCTGTGGGGACTTCTTAAGCGGTGGTGCCCCCGCACCTGGGAAAATACGCTTCAGGCAGTGTCACCTATAACTTCATGACAGCTAACACAGCATATCTGTAGTATTTTACAAGACTTAGATAGTAAGAGTAGCACCATGGTTTTAAGATACTCTGTTATGTGGGGGTCGTATATCTCATCCTTGCTTTTTCTTGTTCTTAAATGCAGAACAAATCGAAATTTTGTACTGGTGAAGATAATCTGCAGTCCACCAGACGGTTAACAATGCAGGCGTCTTTTATTTAAACCCAGGTCTTATCTGTGAAAGGCAAGTTCCAAAGTCATTATATCACCTATATTGTTTAAAAGGCCAGGCTAGCCTTTTATATTTAATTTAAAAATTGTACTCCCCAGCATAAAATAAGTTACTTGATTAGAATAAAGGGAAGTGACTATAGTATTCATAACTAATGTTAGCTGTATTACAATATAGACTTAAAACTATTATGAAAGGGAACCGAATAATAATTATTGCTCTTACCAAGAAGACTTCGGTTACAAATAATAAATATTTCCCAGAACATGCTTTAAATATGATTCCTGACAGAAACTTGCATAGCTGTCTTGGGAGTGGACGTTTTCCTCAACCTGCAATCTGCCTTTAGGAAGCTGCCATCTCTTCCTCAACAGCAACAAAGTTTATCTCAAAAGTCCTACTATATATACTAAATAATCTTGCTTTCATTGGAGACGAGCAGAGGAGAGGGAGCAATACAGTTTCTAGCAAATATTAACATCTGTTTTGTTTTCTAGTTACACCCACTAAGTTGTATGAGGGAACGATTATCAGAAGGAGGCTAGCTCATTCTCACAATACCATAAAGCCCTGGTTTTATAGAGGATTTGTGTCAGAGAGTAACACCACTGGGTACCACAGACCCACTGCTGCCTCACCAATTATCTTCCAGCATGTCCGCAAAAGAGTGTCTAGACCCAGCCTTAGTTCCCTGATGTAGGAGAAAGGATCGCTACAGCTAAAGACAAACCATTCTGGAATAAATTCTTGAAAATTAATGTTTGAAGTTGGAAAGTAAATGGAATTTGAGTAAGAACAAACATTGCCCCAGACTGTAGCCTGGAAATCTGTTGAGAGACAACTCTTGTGAATTTGTTGGGTTTGCAATATATCCCAAAATGCTAAGTACTATCATCCAACCTGATCCAATTAATTTATTTTGCTCAAAAGCTGTCTGTTTCTTATACAAGTTACCAGGTAATACTTAAGAAGTACTACAGAAAATGAAAGTCTTGGCATCAGTGGACTTAACGCTCAAACCTATGTACTACTTAGATTTTTGCGGTAGCTCCATATTACCTTTTCTAATCCAGGTAGATCCTTCCCTTTTTCCCACCCTCCAGGTTTTTCTGAAAGAAATGAAACCAAATGTACAACTTTAATACATAGTTTAATTTATTTTTCAAAAAATATTAGTGTATTTACACAATTTTCTTATTTTTTAAAGCATTTTGTTCTTGCCTATTTAAAAACATCTTGTTGAAAAGAAGTTCAGTCAGGTGACTACATTACAAAAATTTGAAAGAGCAGTCACTGTAGATATAAGCAATTAAAAAATACAGCAAAAATTGTTAAACACATACCATTCCATTAACAGTAAGTAGGAGTGCACATTTTTAAGTTGCTTGTTTCCACAAATTGCTCTTTCCAAAAGATTGTTTAGTCTATGTCAGTACACACTTCTGCATCAGAATTAGCATTTCCTTTTCCTCACTGACCCCCCTCCCCTTTTGCTTATACAAATGTTGCAATAAAATGCATTACAGTAGTATATCATTTACAAAACAAATGAGATTAAAACTTGTTTCTTAACCCATTGGATTGTATTTAAGTAAGCAATGCCATTTCATAGACATGCAATAGATTCCAAAAGCTGTTTGGATCCGGATAATGATCTCTCTCTCTGTGTCTCTCTCTCTCTCTCTCTCTCTCAGTAGTCCTGCCTGAAAACGTTAATTTGCATTGCTGAATGATGCTGTGTTGATTCCTCTTCAGAGGGTTCTGCTTTCCAGTTTTGGCCATTGGGATAGCATGTTAAACATTGTATTTAGTAAAAATAAATACAAATAAATTAAAAACAAATTATGCAAGAAAAGTATTCTCCAGTTGATATTGCTTATAGGGAAGCTTTACTATGAAGCCTGTGGCAATATCTAGTTTATACGCATATGGTAGGTCCATTCTTTTCAGTAGTACTCTCTCAACAGCGAAAAAAAAGCTATGAATATGGCTGTAATTTTGGAGAGAGACAGTAGTGATCTCCTTTCAAACTTCGTCAGGAAGCCATTTTCCTGAAAAAGAGCATACGTGGTTAGGGATAGCTTAAAAATAATGAATATGTAGGGAA